CGCGTAGTGTATGTGAGTGACGAGAAAGAAGAAGAAAACGGAAGTATTTATAACCCTCTTCAACACTTGATTATCCAATACAAATTTAACACGTGTAAATCTTGTAACTGAATGACTAATTTTCTAACGAAGTCGTTGAATTTGCGCTTATTATTGGGCCCAATTATCTATTATGTTAGGCCCATAATCCCGTTGTCTTTTTAATATATATCCAAGGAGTCATACATTTGAAGACGTAAAGCTAATTGAATTTTTTCTATCGCCACAAACAAAATAGTGACAAAAATTCTGCTGTAAAAACTAATCATCCCATATTCAGGTTTCTTAAACAAGTTCTTTCATTTGTAAAGAGTTGTTCTGTTAATAGAAAACGACGATTTCAATCTTTTAAATTGGAAGTCGAAGCAACTTTCAAAAAATTTATAAGTTATTTAGAAAAAAAAATCACATAACAAAAGACCTATTTTATTAAACAAACAATCTTATACGTAACAACATCGTTAGAAAGAAAAACAAAAAGACAGCTAAATAGTCTCAACTCTTTTACTTTTACTTATTCATAAATATTTGTGACTTCCGTCACATTACAAAGGATATTCGTGACTTAATCGTCACATTACACAAACAACCAGCTTAAACCAAATGAAAGGCAGCTTTTTCATACCAAAAAGTCTGCAAATTATAATGCCTGAAAATAAAAATGAAAATTCCAATAGTTTTCTTTCTTGAAACTTAGGACGACGAATCCTTCGAGTTCTGCATAGCTTCTTCACAAATCTGCTTGATTTCTTCATGTAGCTTCACGATCTCCTCTTCCGCTTCCGCCTTTGCTTCGGGATCCTCTGCCTTGAGTACCTCCTCCTTCAATGCTGCAATCTTCCTCTGGAGGCTCTTTATCTAACAAATCAAATTCAACAGATCAGTAAGTAAGAGAAAAATCAAAAACTCAAAAGTTTAAAAGAGTTCTTTATAGTGGAATGTTTTCGATTACTTACTTTGCGGTATGGCCACCTCGGAAGTCCACCTCTTCTGCAGATTTTCTTGAGAACTGTAGGGCAAACGTCCATTCTCCGAGCAGCATGTTCGATTGGTAGATGAAAGTACTTCTTAACATCGTCCAGTGTCAATCTCCCAGTTCTTTCTCTCTGTTTCTCGTCATCGGCACATAGAAAAAGAATCACAAAATTGAAGATCAGTGATTTATCTTTTTAGTGTTGATCAATAAAATATTATCTTATACCACAAGTAACATGTTCTAATGACTAATCCAAATCCTACGTTCTTTATCCTCGATGTTCTATGATATGATCATTCAGCAAATTTCAGTAGTTAATCATCTATAGCAAAAGGGCAAAACCTAGCCTTAATTAATCTTCTGAAACAAAAAGATTCCTTACAGCGCAAGAAACATGTTTCTACCCTAAAAAGTAACCCTAAACTGATCAGATGATGTTATAAATGGGAATAAACTAAGAGGATCAAGGACAAAACCTGAGCAGCGAGAGGAGTGTTCCTCCTTTGCCTTACTTTCACATTCCCGGTGGGTTCAATATCTCTCAGTGGAACATACCGCGGCACGGGTGGAACATTAAGCGATGCATCAGGCATAGCCAAAGCCATAGGAACATCAGTCGCCGGTGGCATTGTCAACATAGGACGCTGGTTATTGGTGGGACCAGCATTCATTGCTCGATAAAATGAACTCAGGGCAGCATTGGTGTCATGAACAAGTCTAAAACCATTTACTTCTCTCTCCGAGAGATAGTTTTCTATAAAACGCTGCACGTCCTCCATCTTCATATCTTTCAAAACCAATGATTGATGTTCACGTCTGTTAGAATCACCAAACGGATGAGTTTCGAGAACCGCATGGCAGAAAGAACCAGTCTCACCATAGATATCGAGTCTCGCGATCTCCAGACCTATATAATCATTAGAATATATAACGAGTCAAATATTGTAAACCAAAGCCATAAGATAAAACAAACATGTAACTTAGTAATGATATGATACATATGTATATATATACCATTGGTATGAACCACTCCGCGAAGGGGTTGACAACAAGAGCATATCAAGATTCCGATATGTATGGTCGGTGTAACCGGGACTGGCCTCGTTGATGGACCACCGATCTCAAAGTTGGTAGGATTTTCCCCGAAAACTCGAGTACTCACTTCAAGTCTCCCATTCCCAACAACAAAGTTCATACCATTTTCCCCGAGAACTAGTGTACTCACTTCAGTTCTATCAATCACTACAAGATTGTTCTCATCTCCAGTATCATTACCACCAGTCTCTCCTTGGACATTGTTGCTGGTCGCATCATCATTAGGTGGTTCAAACATTTCCCAAGAGAGGTAAAGATTATCGTCGAAAGACTCATACGCAGAGTTGTCTTCGCCATTAGGGATGTTAAGAGAGAGTTCTTGCAACATCTGCGTTTCGTTAATCTCCATGTTAGAATCTTGTGGTGCAAGAGGAGAAGGAGGAGGGTTTTGGGAGTCGGTGAAGTCGATGTCCATCAGATTAGGGTTAGAATCAGACATGACATTGTTGAGTTCTTCTTCAGTGAGATGACCAAAGTCATTGTATGGATCATAGAACTTATCATCATCGTCGTCTTCTTCATGAACGGATGAATTGGGATCATCATCACCCGCCATTGTTCCCTCCTATTCTAA